TAAAATTATTTAAAATAAACTGATAACATTTTTTTAAACAGTAGACATTCTCAAACATATGTTCTGCATTGTTTTGCGATTTTTAACAATATTTTAATTTTTAACAGTTTAAAGTTAAAATTGTGTTCCCCTCTGATATGTATGTGTAGTTATAGATTTCAATATTACAACTGAAAATTGTTTTCATTTTTTAAACTTTATAACTAGTCTTATTAAATAAAGCACATATACTTTTTTGTTTTGAATTTTTTACTTGAGTTTTATACATTTTTTTGACATAAGATTTAAACTTTAAGCTCCTTTTTAAAAAAGATTAAAAAGGAGTAAAACATTTTTAGAACGAGTTTTTAAATTTAAAGAAGAATCTAAAATTATGTAAAAGAGGAGATTTTTTTTATCTAAATTTTAAACATGAAATAAAAAAAAAGAGACACTTAAGTTATATAATTAAACGATATTAAAATAACTTTAATTTTTTAATTTTTAAAGATATTTTGAAAACATAAAAAGTATAACATAATATCTACAGTACAATTTATGACCAAGCTACTTTATGACTGAGCTAATTTATCACCAAACTAGTTTATGGCCAAACTAAATTATGACCAAACTAAATTAGCTTACAGACAAAGCATTTTTGGATCACTATATGAATCAGAACTTTATATTGTTTAAAACATTTTAAAACTTTGTTAAATTTAAATGTCTTTGTTTTTATATTTAAAGCAGAGTGTTTAACGCGTCTTTTTTTTCTACTTTTGAATAAATTTTTGAATCCCATTAAATGATATAACCTATGACTTTTTTTCTGCTGACTAAATAGAATAGGATTCTTACACTCTAAAAGATTCTTCTGCTTATATGGCTGACTTTGTAGTTTTTACTACTATGTCCGCTAATTTATTAGATAAGCAATATAAAAATATAAAAAAGTTAATTAAAACAATAAATAAAAAAGCCAAGATAAAAAAAAAGTAATCTATAGACCTGATTTGCATTCTCTTAAAACAAAAATTAAAACTTTCTATGCATTTCTATCCACTGGTAGGCGTTGGGCTATTTCATTAGAAAAATTGTCCTTTTTAAAACTTCAAAGTTTCATAACTTTTTTTCTATTCACTTTATGATGTTTGTTTTTTTGGCCTTTTTTTTAATGTAAAAAAACATCAAAGATCTTTAATGTTTGATGTTTTTACATTAAAAATAAGAATATATTCTAAAAAGGATGTAATAAAATAAATATAAAGATAATAACAATAAAACGATGCTTCTAATAAATAAATATTATTTTTTAAAGAAACTTTTTTCTATAATAAACTATTGTGCAGCTATTCGGTTTTATCAAAAGATATAGCAAAAAAAAATAAGTAAAAGTAAAGGTTTCTTTTGAAATAAACTTTACATTAACAATAAAATTATTAGCCCAAATAAACTGAAAATAAGCTATATATAGAACATTAAACATTCTTAGTTAACATTTATTTTCAATAAACTTTTCAGCAAATAATAAAATTGCAAACGTATATTAACGCTTAAGCTATACTGACCGAGCAGCAAAATTTTTCTTTGTATCAACAATACCTTTTAATTTAATGCTATTTTTTAACGTTGACTATGTATTTAAGCTGTTATTAGCTACAATGTTACGATAAGTTGTTGTCAACAAGTCACACTGTCGCTAACTCTAAATCTAAAATATACGGCTATCGAACTTATTTTTCCATTCGATTTTTCAAGTATAATATCGTGCTTTAACGTTTTTTGAAAACATTTCTAATTATAAAATTACGACATGGAAAATAATCAACTTTAATATTTATTGATTAATTATAGTTAATTAACGGGTTTACTATAAAACAAAACACTTTCATTTTGGTGTTGTTGTTTTTTAACATTAAAAAAAGAAAAGAGTTAATACGAAACATAAAATCTTCCTAAAATTCCCAAGAAAAGAATCACTTTTAAATCAAATAGAAAAATAAATAAACACAAATATATATGATAAATAATTCAATAAATTAAAATACTTTAAACAGTTTGTTTTATGATAGTAGTTGTGATTCCTGTGGCTAATTAGAGAAAAAAATCTTTATTTTGTGAATTGTGTTTAGCCAAGAGTTAAAATCGAAATCATACATCATGAAACTCTTAAAATTTGTTAACAATTTAGTTTACACAGTTTCAAAAAACGTTGTGATCATATTGTTTTTTGCTTCAATTTTACTAAATCAAGATTCATATGAACCTTGATTTAGTAAAATTTATAAAATTTAAGTAATAATTAATATAATTAGTAACAATAATAAATTTAGGTAACAAAAGAAACATAAAAGTGATTATACCTTAAACATTAAATATCGTTTTTATTATGACTTATAGTTTATAAAGTTGATAATTTAACATTTATATTAAAGTTTAGATGAAAATGAGTTGAAATATTGTTTAGATTGTGCCGATAAAACTTCTTTTTGTCCTTATATTATTGGACAATGTAAATATGTTTCGGAAGTAAGAGCATTATGTAACAGAAGTTGCGGCGTTTGTTCAGGTAGGTTGTATTATTTGTGTAGCACGTTTGTATTTTATAAACTTATTATAAAGTTAGTTTTATTTCCGAAAAAAATATAATTGTATTTATGATGAAAACATCTTTAGTGAGTTGTTCGAACATTCAATATAGTGCGCGCGTAGTGTGTGGAGATGCTTCAACCACTCAGACTTCATGCATTGAAAAATCGTGTTGTTGGGACCCTTCCAATCCAAATGGACCTTGGTGCTATAAATCAAGAGGTATATTTTCTTTTTTAATGAAATTAGAAAATTATAAGGGAATTTCTTTTTAATTATAATAAGAATAATAACTGATATAGAATATCGCAGCGTTAATTTTTGTTCAAAAATCTTCCGATTGCCAGTTTGCGCGTGTTTTCACGCTTACAGTCATAGTAAGTGGAAACAACAATAAAATTTTAATTAACCAATCAATATCGAAAGTTTTCTGTGAGTGGTTTCTATCGGTGCAGAAATTTTGCATATAATTTATAAAATAAATAAAAAAAACAGAAAAATCGTAGGATTATATCCTTCATCCATTATTTAATTATATCTTAAGATTCTACTCTCATGTTGATAACATAATATCAAACTGATATTTGTACACAAATTGTTACAAAAAAATAGATGAATAAAAACTTATTATTAAAAAACTAAAAATCTATATGTGAAAATATTTTTTCAACTTAAAACTTGGTAAAAAACCAGAATTAAAAATCTCCAAAAACAATTTTAAAAAATTCTTGCTGCTATGAACAGGCTGCTATAAAAAATATTTTAAGTTGGCTTGTAGTTGGAGATTGTTTTAATTTTATTGCAGAAAGGTAAGTCGTGAAGTACAGCCTGCCAATACCCAAAAAACAAAAACAAAAAACTACTACTGTCTTATCAATTTATCATACATGTTCTATTTTTACTCAGTTTGCAAATTCCAATTCCTAAATCTACACACACTTTAATAAACTAGGCTGTTCAAAACAGCTTGTTGAACAGCCTAGCTAATAAAATAGCTTGTTGAACAGCGTAGCTTTAGATATGTTGTGGATTAAATAGTTAACCTTGAGCTTAACTTAATCTTAAACCAACTGAACAACTTGATCTTAAACCAATATAATAACTTAACCTTAACCCATTAGAACTACTATATACATCTACACCTTAATTTATGTAAAATAAATAATAACCATATTAAAAAAGATGTCATCTTAATTATATCTTTATAACTGGTAATGTTTATCAAAACTAATAGAAATAAATTCATTTTATTTTTTGAATATGCTTTTTTTTTTATAAAGGTAATATGAAAATATCTTGAATTTATATGAAGTCCAACTCTAAAAAAAATGTTAATTATTATGAATAAAAATAAAAATTTCAATCAAGATATAACCAAAATGCAAAAAGATTTTCGGAAATAAAACCATCACCATCATCACCAAAAAAATTGATACTTGTACAAGCTACATTATACAATGTATAATGTAGCTTGTAAAATATACATTTGATATTTGCCAGCACAAATTTTTTTAATAAACTCATACAACTGAGCAGCTATGAAAGCCACAACACTTGCAGTAGCAATTTTGCAAGTCATTACATCTGTAAAACTCACAATATTTGCTCTGATTGTGGCTTTACTTTTTTATGACATTTACATATTAACATACTTTCTAAAATCTTTGTTAAAAAACAGTTGTTTTTTTTTAATCAAATATAAAAAAATACTAATTTATTTTTTAAAATGGCTACTAAATTTTTGTAAGTTAGTCAAAAAGTTACATCGAAACGTTAGAGATAGAAAATGTCAATCTTTACAAGAAAATGTATCAAATCTCAAGAATTATTTTTAGCTTTAAAAATCTCTACCTAAAAAGAAAGATATTTCAATTTCAAATGTAAAACTACGTGTATTGAAGAGGTAACAGTTGTTTATTGAGTTGTTTCTTTTTGTAGACTTATCATGATTTAAATAATACGAAGAATGTGTAAAAAACATATACTCTTCAATGAATAAAAAATATAACTTATATTTTAACATATTAACACATTAAAACATTCACTTTTTGACCAATTAAGCCATAAACCTTGGTTACTTAACTGCATATTTTAGTGTAGACTGAACCAGACGTAAAAATAATCTAGTCACACATAATTTTTTTAGTCGCGCGAACTATTCACACTGGGAGATATTTGGCCAAAAATTAACGTCGTGATAATTATTAGATATTTACTATATAATCTATCATTTTTACTTTAATGATAATTTAAATATTTTTTATACTCGTTTTTTTAGGAGCTGAAGGAAAATAAAGATGCAATCATTATTTCGTATTTGTTATTTCAACTTTTATTTACATGTTTATATAAGTTAAATATTTATAGGATTAATCCTTAGCAAAATTATTGAATGTATTATTTATTTAAGAAATAGAAATTTAACAAAATTATTGAATGCGTTATTTAATGTAGAAATAGAAATATAGTGAATTTTCCGAGAATTTTGTAATAAAATTGAAATGTAAAAATTTTTATTTTTTATTTAAAAAAAATTAATTTAGAGAAAATAAATATTTTGCCATACAACACACTAAAATACTTACACATTATTTTCTTAGTAAACACTAGAAGATATCCTATATATATGTAAGATTTGCACTAAAACTGCTGCTGACAAGCTGTTTATAAATTTACACTAGCTGTTTATAGATTTGTTTATAGATTTACACTAGCTGTTTATAGATTTGTTGAAAAATGCATCATTTGTAAGTCTTTTAACTCTAAAACTATGCATACTGTTATAACTTTTACATGAGTGTTTGGCATTAAAAACTAAACAGGGTGTCAAAAGCCTGAACCTCGCCCACTTGAACTCAATCTTGCCTAATGGGCGATATTATTTACAAGTAGGCAAGATTTAATCTCTTTAGTTAATTTATAGACTAAGAACGCTCCACTTGGTTCGTTTAGAGAATACAAATGCCAAACACTATGGAAGATTCCTTGCTTAGATCAAACCCAATTCGTTATGTTAATTTTAATTTCTAAAAAGCTACTATGAGTTATTATGAGGTCGTAAAATATGACATATCATGAAATAGCGAAATATGACATACTATGAGGTAGCAAAATATGACGTATTATGAGGTAGCAAAGTATGACATATTATGAGGTAGAAAAATATGACATGTTATGAGGTAGCAAAATAGAATTTTGAACAAATAATACCATATAGTATTTCGCAAAGTTACATCTAATAAAGTATCTAATAAATTATAATCTCTAAAAATATCATTTAAAAAGTAATATTTAGTAGTATATTTAAAGATATATTATATAAAGATAATAGAGACATAAAGATATATTATATAAAGATAATAGAGACATAAAGATATATTATATAAAGATAATAGAGACATAAAGACTATAGAAATAAATAAAATGAAAAGAGTTGAAAATTGAGTTTTTTTTGAACAAAAATGTTTGGTGCAACCTTTTCTGAAACCTGAAATGCATTGTGGTAGCATTTAGAGCATTTAATCTAATTTCTTTCACTATTATCTTTATAATAGTTACTTTAGATGATCAACAACACTTCTATCTTTACTGTTGTTTTTTTGTCAACTGTCATTTTTTTCTTTCGATAACTTAGTTATTTAATTTTGGATTTTATCTTTTCAAGATTTTTAGATTTTTTTTTTCTGGTTCAATTATGTTTCATGAAGCTTTTCTACATGTGTAACATCAATATTGTTTATTTTCACCTCCCCCCTCCCCCCCACTTCCCATGAATCCACCCCTGACCTCTACCGTTTATGTGCAGGTGAATAGTTATTAAAATATACTAGTTGACTAACTTATAATAAATTTAAATTCTTTTCTTCAAACTGTTGATAATTTAGCACAATTTAAATTAATGTAGAAATCGTAAATCAATTTGTGCACCGTTGGCTTCACAAGGTTGACTCATTAATAAAGTAATTATAGAATTTAAGAATGAAATGTTTTTCTAACGTACTCTTCATTAAGTTGGTTGCCGAAATACTTTGAATTTTGTCTTCGCTACTGCCCTTATTATTATTTATTTTTTGTTCAAAATGTTTTCTTTCTAATATTTCTAAAATAGTTATTGGATTTATCATAGTTATTGGATTTATCATTGAAAGTTTTGCTGACTTTTTTCAGAATAGTAGAATACTCCAATTCTTGTAAAGTTTTTAAGTTCAAAAATTACAACTGGATTTTCGAAAAGTCATTTTAATTAGCTCGAAGTGCGTGAGTACAAGTGCTGAGTACTGCAAAAAAGATATGAAGATAAAATATAAATAGAACAGCATGAATGATATGCTAAATAAAAATGCTATATAACAATGATATATTAAAAAAATATCTTTATTAAAATAAAATTTAGTTTTATACTTTCTTGTTTTGTTTCTCATAGTAAATGAGTTTTTCTAATAAAACAATCTTTTTTTTTTGGGTTATCGTAAAAAATGCAATTGTTGTGATAATTAAACTAATGATATTTGCTTTAATAGTGCTAATAGTATTTCGTGCCACTGCAACATAATGCGACATAAGATTTTTTAATACGATATTCAATTTATGTGTAAGATTGCATTTTGAGAGTGAATCCTTCAAATTTTTTCCTTAACACTTTTATTATCAGCTATTGTAGAGCATTTTAATCTTGACCCAACAACAACCAAAATAAAATTGACAGTCAAGGCTTGAACCAACAAGATTTGGGTAACTTTGGCTAAGATAAAAGTAATCCCATAATCTTGATCCCTTTAAATAAATAAAAAAGTCTGAACATTATTCTTTGAACATTTTGGAAGCTTACAGTTCAACAGACCTAGGATTCGCTCAGAAAATTCTGAGCGGCGCTCAACTTGTCGTTCAGCAGCTTTTTATGAACGGACGCTCGCAAATCTGCTCATAAAATTTCTTGAGCGGGAGCTCCACTCATTCACTCACAAATCCGCTCATAAAAAAATTTTCAATAACTTTCCCAATGTTCGCTCTTTAAATTCAGAAAATTTTTTAAACTAACTACTTTAAAAAATGAAAGTGAAACAACGCTAAACGTTAACTGCAGTATTAAAATTAAGAAGTTTCTCTGGCTGGTTACATACATGTGCTGTTTTAAATATAAATATTTGACCACTAGATTTCAACATGGAGTTAACTCCATGTTACTAGTTCAATATTTGGCCGCTAGAAGGCGCAGAACGAGCGTAATTTTTGAGTGCTATCAAAAAAGCGTTCACTCGCGCTCACGTTCATATAAATTTGACGTCGCTCGCGCTCACGCTTCTCTCAGAACTTTTAGGCGCCGCTCATGAGCGAGTTCAATTTGAGCGGCACTCATCCAAGGTCTGCAGTTCAATTCAAGTCGTTAATCAAAAACTGTTTTGATTTTTACTCTTTTGCAGTAACTATTTTGTCAATTAGGTTATCTGATAATATACGTCATTAACATCTTTTAAATTTCTGTAAAAATTTTACATTTTGGATCAAAGCAATTTCTTTATTGTTTCATCAAACAAAAGATTTAAAAAAAAAAAAAAAGTCCTTTATTAGTTTTAATATTTTACGAATTATTAATAAAAAATAAACTCTTACACTCTTGAAAAACGTTTTGAAAAACAGACACCTAAAAACGTCTTGAAAAACAGATACCTAAAAAAAATGTTTAGGTATATGTTTATGTTGAAAAGATATTTTAAATCACTATTAGACTTCTTATTATGCAAATTTAATAAAAAATTGGTCAAATTCTGAAATGGTTTAATGACTCTCTTTTTTGAAGCTGTCGAGATTACAAGGTTATATATATATATATATATATATATATATATATATATATATATATATATATATATATATATATATATATATATATATATATATATATATATATATAAGATTTTTAATGAAAAACTTTTAGAAAATTTTAATTTCAAAATAAACAGCACAAATTAAAACTAAAAACTTTTAAAAGCAAAATTAAAAATAGAGCTTTAGAACAGAATTAACAATGCTTTACTAATGTGTTATATAAAAAATATTTGCTTTTCAGTATCTTCACGTTTATGGCATCATTCATTTTTTGCAAAGGTAGCAGGTTTGCTTTTTGTAATTTTTATCTTTTTTTCTGAAAAAGTTTTTTTTTGTTTATGGAGACATTTAATTTTCTTATTTGTAAGAAATTATCCACATATAACCGTCTTTCTTCTATTTTTCGTTGTTCTATTAATCTTATACTTTTGCTCATACATAAAGAAATATGATTGACCTTAAGCTTTTTGCATCCCAGATCTTGGCTTTTGTTATCTTGGAGGTTTGAAGTTATGACACTATCTTATGGCTGATATGCATATGAGAAGTTTGGAGTTGGATTTTGTTGTCCATGGCTGCTTTTATGGTGCGATATGTTAAATGATCACCATGAACATTATCAATTGAGAGTTTTGGTTTTTGACCTTAGGCAACAAATATCATAAATTGCTCTTAAGCTTTAATAAAAATGGAATTTATTTTTACATAATTTTGAATTATTTTCAGTATCTTAATGACCAACAGAAATTTTATATTCAGTTTAAATAGATAAAAGGAAAAAAAATTAATTAAACTAAACAAAAAAATTAGGGCTGGGCAAGTTAACGCGTTATTATCGCGTTAACGCATTAATTAATTAACGCCGACAATAAATTTATCGCGCGTTAACGTACTTTTTATTTTGAAAGTCTAAAAAGTGAAAAGTTAACTTTTTAATTTAAATTTGATAGTTCATTAAACTAAAAAGTGACAGGGCTGCACAAAATTCATCAAAACAGACCTGTCAATCTTTAGTTTACAGAACTATTAAATTTAAATTAAAAAATTAATCTCCAGATTTTATTATTGTAAAAAAATATATTTTTTTGCTAAGTTTTTATGAAATTTTTTTTTCCACCTATTAGTCTTTACAATGAGTTCATTATGAGTTTCTGCCGCTCGTTTTTTTTTAAGATTCACAAGCTTAACTTTATTTTTCTTTTGTGAAACTGTCTGTCAAAGTTTTCGTTTCTCATTTTATATTTTTTGTTTATTATTGCTTATAATTATTATTATATTAATTTATATTAGTATTAATATATTAAAAAAGTTATTTTGCATTTTGTATTTTTATGTTTATTTATAGTTTTGTTTATTTATTTTGTATTGTTTCAAAATTATGTAATAGTCGAATTATAATTTAATTATTTATAATTCGATAATAATCGAATCATAAAAGAATTGAAACTTTCGTGCGTGTTTATGTTATTGCTTATGCTCAAACAACAAGCAGTAAGTAAACTGAGAAATATTTAAAAATGGAAAAAGGTACCGAAATTTTAAACGGACACTTTTATTTTAAACCTCTTCAACAAGGAGTAGATAGAACTAAAGCTATTTGTAAACA